CAAGTAATACTTTTTGGGTCAAAGTAGGACTTTATTTTTACTGTGAACAAAGAATAATTTTGTAATTTTGATTTTTTATAGTAGATTTGTATTGCGAAACTCGAGAAACCTGTATATATTTAGATTTGGAAGCACTAAATCACAAAAACAAATGATAACTGAAATTATTTGAATAAATCATACTTTTTGAGGTTAAGTCCTTCAAAATCTCAATTTTTCTGTAATTCAATACCTATCCGGATTATTTTTAAAAATTGATTAATATTTGCAATTTTTATAGAATTTTATTACGAAAAATTCAATTTCTTACTTCTTCCGACATTGAGAATCCGCCATTTTGGAATTTTGATTTTTTTTAGAGTGGATTTATAATATGGAACTCCAAAACCCTGTATATATGTAGATTTAGAAGAAGTGAATCACAAAAAACAAATATTAACTGAGATTATTTGAATAAATAATACGTTTTGAGGTTAGGTCCTTCAAAATCTCAAGTTTTTTATAATTCAAATAATTTTAAAAAAGAGTATTTTAAAATTGATTAATATTTCTCATGTTTTTAGAATTTTATTACGAAGAATTCAATTACTCACTTTTTCCGACATTTTGAATCCGCCATCTTGTAATTTTGAATATTTTATAGTGGATTTGTAATGTGGAACTCGAAAAACCTGTATATAGTTAGATTTGGAAGCAGTAAATCACTTAAAACAATCAAAAAGTAAAAAATAACTAAAAATTTTTCAATAAATCATTTTTTTTTGGTTATGTTTTGAAAAATTTTGCCGTCGCTGCAGCTTATTTTGAAGAGGAACTCCTCCTAAGAATTTAAAAAAAAGTATATTAAAATCGGTTAAGAATTGCCGCTTCGATAGAATTTCAAGACGATAATTGTACTTTTGTCCCACTGTGCGCTGTTTCACTATTTCTCACCATTGAGCTCCCATACTTCCGTTTTGTCATTACGCTTATGTGATTTGAAATCAAATTGCTGATGAGTAGTGGGTGTGGAGGGAGTGATCTATTCGGACGAGACGAGTTAGCATCATTTCGAATGAACTTCACTTAGGTAATTTCGTTTAATATTACAAGTATGCTGTACCGTCTCGTCCTGAATATCACATGTAGTTGTGCGGGATTGGTCGATATATCGACCAGCAATCAGGTCGGGGACTCTACCTGTTATATCCAGTTAATTTATGTATAAATCTTGGATTTTATGACATGTCAATTTGTACTGAAATTTTCCCGCAGCGAAAAGGTTAAAGAATACAGCAATTTGGGTATTTTATATTTATTCTGAATTTTTCAAGATAGGGGTAGCAAATTGACAGGTTCGCTCTTTAAGTGGCCTATTGTAAAATTTATCAAAAACTCTTAAAGTTTTTAGATCACCCTGCAGTGGATCAGATTTTTTTATGTGACGCATTTTTTATGTGCCGCTGAAGTAGCGGCGTGACGAGTAATGAGTTCGGAGTCCTTTAGCCACAGTGGCGCCCCTTACGGTTAATTGTGTATATGTCGTGGAAACAGCGAAAATATTTTGTTGCCTGCTGCTGGAGTCAGCTGTAAAAGCAATTTTCAACACAATGTTATGTTATTTATTGTTAACCCTCGGAGCACACACCTCTTTTTTCGAACAAGTAGCACAGTCTGGGTCGCTGTGACCCTGTTTACTTTACAAAACTCCCCCATTTTTGAACTATTGGACTGATCAACACAAAAAAAATATTTTTTTATTCATTGAACCTTGTAAAATAAGAATATGCAGTTTAGAAATATTAATAAATTATTTGCATATTGAAAAAAATTTCGTGAAGGTAACTAATTAAAAAGAAAAAATTGAATTTAAAAAAAGTGTAACTTTTGTAATTGTTAATATTTTAAGCTAAAAATTGGGATTTATATTCTCGAAGTGTGTTAGAATAAGGGAAAAAATACCACTTTATTTTATTTTTTAAAAAAGGTATTTATTTTGTAGTCTAACGAAGGTAACTTTTAAGACGATAAAAATGTGATTTTCGACACAACTTTTTAAAACTATACTTTTTTAATAACATAGGGTAAATGCACCAGTGGTGGATCAGGCACCAATGGTGGATCAACAGCGTTAAAAAGGTTAAAATAAGCTATTTCTAATTAAACTAAATGTTTCAATCGTTTAGGGGAGGTGTATAGATAAGTTTTATGAAATAAAATCATTCGAAAATATTTAGGAAAACAAAGCAATACAACAATTGTTGATTTTATGCTTTTTCACATGAAATCTTAAAAACTAATTGTTTAGTCTAAATTTTTTTAATTTTTAGAGTAGAAAGTAATCAATTCTTTCCATATAGAATACTTTTGGAAAAAAATTTACATCATTAAGTTATTTTTGTGTAGTGTAAAGGGGTAAATGATTCACGACTGGAGCAATGTCATTTTATTGTTGAATGTGGGTGTGAGGGGGTGTAAACGTTACAAGCAGGTCGAAAACTACACGATAGTGTCCTTGAAGACTTGTTAATTCATACTATTGTAAAGATTACCCTATATTTTTCATCTGAAAAAATCTGTACACCTTTAAAGTCAAAATAATAAATTTAGTAGGCTTAATTGATCCACCACTGGTGCAGTTACCCTATTTACTAGTATTTTATTATTTTCTTTGGATTATCATGTTACTTATTATTCCTTATTAGTTAGTTACCACTATATGGCCTTAGTTTCTTGTTGTATTGCCGACTTTTCAAATTACACTTCATTGAAATTAATGACAGGGTCTGTGTGACCCAGTATGTGCTCCGAGGGTTAAAATAAAGTGCTTTTTAAAAATTTAAAAGGAAAAGGGAAATATTATGTTAGAAATATTAGAAGTTTTAAATATTTATTAATGTAATTTCATGTTTAATTAACACAAGTACACAAAAGAAAAAAAATGTCAATTGCCGGGACTGCCATATGGTAGATTCTCGTCCTTAAGATGTATCTAACGAGAAAAACGTAGTCCAACCTAAAAGTTAGTTCGTGTTTTGTTTTGATGGACATGGTGGGGGGGGGGGATTTGAGAAATTGATTTCTATGGAAATTTACATAATTTCTATATCTAAAACAAAATTTTTGCTTCTTTGAATGTTGATTTGAATTCAGTGACTTTAATAACATAAAATTGGATATATTCAAAAAATTAAAAATAGCGTATCTAATATGGAGGATTTTAAAAAAAAATTAATTGGTTAATAAATATTTTTTACTTTAAATAAATAATTTAATTTAAAAACATATTTTCTCTCTTAAATAACTAATGTTATTAGATATTAAATTCATTTTATTAATTCTATAATGAGAATAATTCTTTAAAAATATTATCAAAATGTATTTCGTTTATTTAAGAATCATCTAACTAATTGTAAGTCAAATTTTTAAAATTTTATTTAAGTAGGACAAAATTCTAAAATAAATTCTTAAAGTTCAATTTTTATAATTTTTTTAAGTATGATTTAATAGCAATATATTAAAATTTAAAATAATTTTTAAATAAAATTTTTTATTAAATAATAATTTTGGAAGAGTTAAAGTTGAAATTTTTGAAATTAATTAAATTTCAAGTCATTTTGAATTAAAATTTCTTTATAATTTTATTTGCTTATTTTTTTTAAATGAAAATTTTAGTTAAAAATTTGTTAAATAATTAAAATAAAGAAGATCTAACGAAGATTTGCATTGTATAATGAAAGATCGTAATTTGTTTAAAAATTTGAAAAAAAAATTATTTAAAAAATCGCATTTTATTAAAATTAGTCGAAAAAAATCGTATTTTATAAAAAAAATTGGAAAAAGTCGTATGGGGGGATGGGGCAAGGATAGTTAAGGGGTAAGGATAGTTAGTTGCTGTTATGCTTAGACGGCTTGCTCAAAATTCGCGTCATTCATGGTATATTTGCGTCTTAACACCAATAGATGATAGTAAAAATTGGAAGTCAATCTGCCACCATTTGCGAAGTCAGGAGTTTATTTTTGTAAAAAGTCTGTTTTGTTAAAATGTCAACGTAGTGTTTATCACATTGTTTCCTGAGTAGAATTTCCTGCTGAACACGAATATCGTATTTATTTTCAAATTAATTCAAGTCGTTCCTTAAAAGTTAGAAAAAACTGAAATATGGGCTCATGGGGCAAGGATAGTTAAAGCTATTACGGCTCGATAAAATCCTGCTAATGCGACTGCAAATTATAAAAAAATGTTTAATTGTTCTTTTTATATTGATATATATAATGGTACGTAATTATATACGAAAAATGAAGCTTATTGACCAAGAAATTGGTGATCATCTGAAGAAAATTGGTTAAACCTCAGATTCTAGTTCAGACGAATTTTAATGCAATAATTGATATTTAGAAAATGTTCAAAACATGTTGTTAATACTTGATATATCAATATTAAATAGTCTAAATCCTATAAAATAAAGAAACCTAAAATTTACTGATTTTCTATGACAATTTTAGCATTTGGATTCTTTTAACTATCCTTGCCACGGTACTGGGGCAAGGATAGTTGAAATTTTTTTTTTACTTTTTCATTCGTATCTCGTAGGGATTGTACTCTACAGCAAAATAATGTATAGGAAAATTATAGCCAAATAACCAGGCTTTCCAAAAATACTACTCGTTTGCAGATACAAATTCAGGTTTGGTCGCTAGATTCGAAAACGTCTTACTTAACTATTCATGCCCCATCCTCCCCTATAATCCGAGACCTGCAAGCTTTAAAAATTCTTTGGACTGAAATCGGGCAACTAGCGTTACTACATGTGATCTTAAGAACGAGACGATGCAGCATAATGATGTTGAAACTGGCAACCAGTTAATTATTATTATTATTATTATTATATATAAATATATTTTTCCAATGTGTTATTTATTCGTTTAATGAGTATGAAATTTATCTTTTGTTTTTATATATTTTTTAATCTTATGTAAATAATAATCTGAAGTATTCAATTGCTGTTTTATTTCACAAGCTGGTCGAAATAGAGTACATCCCGGTGACAGTAAGTACTCCTGTCCCATTTTCTTTATTTTCCCTTTTCTCTTTCAAAACCGATTTTTGGATTAATTTTCAACGAATTTTCGCTAAATCCTTCTTTTCAGAAATAATTACTATAAATTTTGTAAAATTTCTGATTTCTATCAATAATTTTAAACCGTCCTAATATTAAAATAGATTTTTAATAGAATTTTAGGAAAGAAAAATACATTTCGGAATCAATACATTTTTCTCTTTATTTAAAATATTAAATTGAACAGTGTTTAATGTAAATAAAGTTTTACGCTCAGCATGTTTCATTGTTAGCAGATTTAGCAGAAGAATAGGTTCTTATTGTATTTCTACTTCTTACTCGGGAATTTTGAGGGTCGATGATTACGATTTTGGATTCAGATTTTCAAAATTTAAAATAATTATATACAGTTCGTGAATACATACTCCACCTTACAGCAAAAAGCATTGTTTTTATTCTTAACTAATACAAACCAGATACAAACCCCGAGAAAAAAATTTCGACCGAATTCCATCAGTCTTGAAATTATCTGCCATATTGGGTCGCCAAATTGGATACGCCATTTTAAATTTTGAAAATCTGACGTCATATTTGTAATTAGCGACCCAAAAAACTCCTAAGTAACGAGGTTCAAGCGAATCGAATCAACTTTTAAATTTTCTTGGTCGGGATTTTAGGTCCGCCATTTTGAATATTTTAAATCTGATTTCAAATACGGATTCAGCGACCTCAAAAACCTTAGTATACTTATCACCAGTTAAATCAAATTATATTTAGTATTATTATTTTATCAAAAATTGACAGAAAAAAATTTTTATAAGTAACGATTTCTGCCAAAAAAACCGTCTGCCATAAAAAATATATGACTTTAATTTTGTGATCACTATTTATTTTGTTAATTTAACAGGTTAAACTGTATAAAAAAAATTAGTTTCAACTTTAAAATCAAAATTTTCCAACTCAACTTTTCTGGAAGCTGAATATGACAATTTTAATGAAATGAGCCATATATATATATATATATATATATATATGTGTATTGTAACGTTATTTCTAATTTCTCAATATAGAGGGAGATTTCCCTCGTAAACTATTTTCAACTTTTCACTATAGAGGGAAATTTCCCTCGCGAACTTAACGCTACAAAAATGGCCACATTGAACAAAATTCGATTTGTGAGATCCACTTTTTGATTTCACAAAAGGTCCAGGGTTATTCAGACACTCATTTCTGTAGAGCACTCCAGTCTCTCCATTTTTTCCAAGCATGTTGAAAACTTCCTTCTCAGGGTCTTGTTCTCGTACTCAAGAGAGGGGAAAACGACACAACACAAACCAATGAGAAATAAAATTGACACTCAGAATTTGATCACGAAAATTAATAACTTAACTTGTATTTGCGACAGAAACTACTTCTGAGAGAGAGAACAAACACGTGTTCCTGCTGAGCACAGTGTGATTAGCTGGCAACCGCACAATGGGACAAAAGTACAATTATGGTCTTGAAATTCTATCGAAGAGCCAATTCTTAACCGATTTTAATATACTTTTTTTTAAATTCTCAGGAGGAGTTCCTCTTCAAAATAAGCTGCAGCGACGACAAAATTTTTTAAAACATAACCTAAAAAATGATTTATTGAAAAATTTTTAGTTATTTTTTACTTTTTGATTGTTTTAAGTGATTTACTGCTTCCAAATCTAACTATATACAGGTTTTTCGAGTTCCACATTACAAATCCACTATAAAATATTCAAAATTACAAGATGGCGGATTCAAAATGGCAAAAAAGTGAGTAATTGAATTCTTCGTAATAAAATTCTAAAAACATGAGAAATATTAATCAATTTTAAAGTACTCTTTTTTAAAATTATTTGAATTATAAAAAACTTGAGATTTTGAAGGACCTAACCTCAAAACGTATTATTTATTCAAATAATCTCAGTTAATATTTGTTTTTTGTGATTCACTTCTTCCAAATCTAAATATATACAGGGTTTTGGAGTTCCATATTATAAATTCAGTCTAAAAAAGTCAAAATTACAAAATGGCGGATTCAAAATGTCGGAAGAAGTAAGAAATTGAATTTTTCATAATAAAATTCTATAAAAATTGCAAATATTAATCAATTTTTAAAAATAATCCGGATTGGTATTGAATTACAGAAAAATTGACATTTTGAAGGACATAACCTTAAAAAGTATGATTTATTCAAATAATTTCAGTCATCATTTGTTTTTGTGATTTACTGCATCCAAATCTAAATATATACAATTCAATTTTAAATTCCGTTTCAATTTTTATAGAATTTTATTACGAAAAATTCAATTTCTTACTTCTTCCGCCATTTTGTAATTTTTATTTTTTTTAGAGTGGATTTATAATATGGAACTCCAAAACCCTGTATATATTTAGATTTGGAAGAAGTGAATCACAAAAAACAAATATTAACTGAGATTATTTGAATAAATAATACGTTTTGAGGTTAGGTCCTTCAAAATCTCAAGTTTTTTATAATTCAAATAATTTTAAAAAAGAGTACTTTAAAATTGATTAATATTTCTCATGTTTTTAGAATTTTATTGCGAAGAATTCAATTACTCACTTTTTTGCCATTTTGAATCCGCCATCTTGTAATTTTGAATATTTTATAGTGGATTTGTAATGTGGAACTCGAAAAACCTGTATATAGTTAGATTTGGAAGATTTAAAACAATCAAAAAGTAAAAAATAACTAAAAATTTTTCAATAAATCATTTTTTTAGGTTATGTTTTGAAAAATTTTGCCGTCGCTGCAGCTTATTTTGAAGAGAAACTCCTCCTGAGAATTTAAAAAAAAGTATATTAAAATCGATTAAGAATTGGCGCTTCGATAGAATTTCAAGACGATAATTGTACTTTTGTATTTCTGTGTGTCGGCAACTTTAGAAAGTGGCAGTGATTACCCACTCGTCCTCCCCGCAATAGCTTGCTCATTAATTAGCGCCTGTAAGTTGGCAAATGTAGGCCCAAAGCTGTCATCCGTGAATGGACGATTACTATTGACAATTGATTGTCGTAAGAAAGAGTAATAATTACAAAAAAAAACAAAGTGGTTCTTAATAGTGACTAGTTTTGATTGTCGTCTTCTTCCGACAACCAATCACACTATTTACAAAAATGTAACTTTTACAACAAACGTTATGTTCCAAGAGTACAAGAACAAGGTTTATAATAATGTAATTTACAATGCTTTGATGAGTCCGGGTCTGGCCAGTATTTCAATAATTAAACAAGAAAAATAATAATTTTTGGAATTAAGTTTCGGCGAGACTTACAAACTTAAAACTTCCGAATTTAAAACCACGTTACAATATATTAGTATATATTGTAACGTGGTTTTAAATTCGGTAAATATAAAAAAATAATTTTCTTTTAATTTGCTTGTAAATATATACATATATATGTATGTACAAAGTTTGAGATGGTTGGCTAAAAAATTTTTAAAGTTAAGATAAAAAAGAATTTTGAACTTTATTTTCAGGAATTTTGAATTTTTGTAGCGAAGCAATATTTAAGTCAATTTCAGAAGGGTTAGCTATATTTTTCGTAAAATCGAAATTAAATATGTGTTTTAAGTTTCAGCTTCTTAGCTCCAAAACTGTAAAAGTTAAGATGGGGGGGACACGCTTTTTTCAGTTAGAGTTTTTAGAATATAATTACATGCAATCCAATTCCAGTCAAGTTCTCTATAAACCCTTGCTAAAGGTTCCGTTTCGGTTCACTGCGTATTTTTTGAAAATTTTTTTGCACCATTCGAAAGAGCAGGATAAAACCTTTCGATTACAGATAGGTCAAATATTTTTTCATCTTTCTGTTTAAAAGTTAGGGGAGCGTGGGCTTACAAAGGCTTACCCTGCGCCACTTCGCCCCCAGGTAGGGGAGACCGGGGCTATTTGGCGCAGGGGTTGCTTGGCGCACTTGAGTTTATTCAAAAGTGTTAAGTAACATTAATTATTCTCATTGTGGAGTATAGATTAAAATAACTGATTTTGGCACTCCAAAGTAATTTTTTAACCTCTTCATTTTTTTGTGATATCTCTTTAAAAAATTAATTAATAAAGGTTAAAGTGGTGTAACTTTTGACATACGTCATGATGTTATTGTTTTTGAGAAATGTTGACTGCGCCGCTTCGCCCCACGCTCCCCTACAAGTATTCAAAAATCCACTGTTTAAATTTTTCAAAAAATTTCAACCTCCTCCCTCTCCTACACTTTTGAAAAAATCTAACAATACTTTTTGGTTAAATTCCAATCGGGTTCGCTATAATTTTCCCTTAATCTATTCGCTAAAATACGTATGTATACCAAGTTTGAGCTTAATCGGTTAAAATGGCTAGGTTTTAGGGGGGGGACATGATTTTGTGAACGGACATGAGTGAAACCATAAAAGTTCCGTTTCGGAAGATACATATATCTCAAATTCATTGCAATAGGGGATCAATTTGTTAATGTGTAAGATTCAATTGATTATGAATCCCTGGTCTCCAATTAATTAGTTAATTTAGGAAATAAATAATTTACTTAAGTTATTTATTTATTTTGATTTTCAGAGAAGTAAATGAATTTTTCATTTATTTGCTACTAAGAGGTTGAGCATTTTAGTAATGTTGTAAAATAAATAACATAATAAATAAATCAATTTCTAAGGGAAATTCTTGAAAAATTAATTTACTTATGATAGGTTAACTAATTCAGGGAATAGATAACTTGACCTTGGTAATTGATAGGCATTGGCAGATTTCTTTTATTTCGTTAAAATTTTATTTTATATTTTTTTTATATAGTTAAGCCTATGAGCAATTTTTGAAATTCAATTGAGGAAAAGCGAATTTGTTAAAAAGAAATCAAACAAAAAGGTGAAAAATTTAAGTTAATTAATAAAATTATTTCATTTAATATTCATTCAGAACGAACTCACAAATAATTATCCAGACTTAAATAATTAATAACTATATCATATGATTGATTGTACATTTTCTTTCTTTATTAATAATTAAGGGTCATTCCATTTTATTTCACCTATAGTGAAACCTATAGTTGAACGGAAAATAGGTTAGTTTGACAGCTTTGGAAATTTTATAAAAAAGAACAGAAATAATTCAGTTAGTAAATTTTTTTCATTGATATTTGTACTTATTGTTAGGTAGTAATGAATTTTATAATATTTATAAACTTTCTTGGAAAATATAAATCAAATGTGACAAATTTTGCCATTTTACAGATAACTTTGAATATTAATTTTCACGTAGTATTTTGACGTTTTTTACACAATTATCAATTAACATTGGTAAATTAGACTATTTTCAACAAATATCAATGAAAAAAATTTAATAACTAAATTATTTCTGTTCTTTTTTATAAAATTTCCAAAGTTGTCAAACTAACCTATTTTCCGTGTAACTCAACTTAAAAACTAAATTTCAACGTAAATAAAAAAAAATTCCATAAAATAATTGTCAAAAATGAATTGTACGGATATTCAAAGCCATTAATACGAAATATCAAATTTTTCTAAAAATAGGCTGCAACGACTATAGGTGAAATAAAATGGAATGACCCTTAATATTTATTTTTTTTTTTTAAGTAAAAATATTCAACTTCGAAACAATATATGACATTTATTCATTTATAAAAGTAGAAGTGAATAAGAAAATAAACAGCTGATCTACCGAATAATTATGGGAAAAATTCCTCTAATTTGGTAAACAAGCAACAAATTTTTCTAAAAACAAAATAAATATTTTCTTTCAAAAATACATATGAGAATAATAAATTTAAGGATTAATCTAATTTAAATTATTCTATTACATAATCACAATCATATCTGTTGATATAACTAGCACGTGTTCATTGTATCAAATAATTAAATTTGAAAATACAATGTCCCTTTAAATTTAGACAATAGTCATTCTTTCTTTTGGATAAACTTACGTAATGTGGGTGATTACTATCTAAACATTTATGTTTACGGTCATTCAACCACATTTTTAACTTATTAATTTCTCAGAACCGAACCAAATCAAGGCTAAGATTGATAAGAAAGTAAATATAAACACGTATAATAGTATATATCTCCGGTGTGAGAGTTAATAATGCTTCAATTCTGAACCCAAATATTTTTATTTTTTGTGTGGCTGTTGTTCTTTAAATATTAGGTTGATTTTGATAGTCAAAAATCTTGAGTATGCATAGTTTTTGAAAAAAGTGATATCGGATGTTTTTGTAGCTCAATTGATATAAGAAAGTTTTGGGATCATACCCCAGCGGCGAGAGAAGTTTCATTTTTTTCAAAAACAATTTAAAAAATAATTCTGAATTTCAGTAGACAACTAATTTTGCATTATACAACGTTGATAAAATAGAAAAAATATTTCCCTTTGAAATAATTTAAATTATTTTCCAGATTTGAATATGTTCTTCAAATATTAAATTTTTTTTTTTTGCATCAAGAAATGTCATCCTAAATTCGTAAGAATAAAACTGTTGCAGAAAATGAGTTACTAGAATCATAACTTTATTTGATAGCTCAATTCAAACACTTCTTAAAAGCAGCCTGTATTAAACTAATTAATATTATTTATACATTTGTTTTTACAAATGTACGAAATATATACAGAAAGAACATGAATTGAGTAACGTATACGCTACTTATTTTGATGTGCAGCAGAAATGAGTCTAGATTTTTTTCTATATATTTAAGAATTTCTAGAAATAGAAATCCGGTGGTAAAAATTAAAAATAATAAGGATATCACTTTGTAGCGTTAAATTGTCTCTGGCAAACAATAATTTTTTTATCTCATTATAAGCTGCTTATATTATAATTTATACAGCTATTTAAAATGTCTAAAATATGAACTATTTTAATTGCAGGAACTTGTTATAGTTAAAAATACAGGCGAAAAATTAGGAATGCATATCAAAGGAGGTCTTCGTGGACAAAGGGGTAATCCTCTTGATCATTCGGATGAAGGTGTGTTCATATCGAAAATAAATTCTGGTGGTGCTGCTAAAAGAGATGGCAGATTGAAAGTAAGTAATTAAATTTCAGTTTTTGTTATAAAATAAAAAAAAAATGGAAGCGTTATAATTATTTTTATAAAGTTTGGGATTTCATGATTAATATGCAAAAAGAATCATAAGGTTTCATTAATGTTTGGCAAAGTTATTTATTTTTGAAAAATGTTACGCATAAAATTTATTTGTATATTTTTTCAATTTCTTTACAGGTTATTTGCAAATATAGAAGAACTATCTTCTTGCACATTTACATTGATAAATTTCAAACTTTTTGTAAGTCCACTTGAGGAATTCTAACACAACAGAAAACGTATTCATACACTGAAAAAAGGGTTTGGTATTGACAACCAAACGTTTGGTTTGTATTTAAGCAACCAAATTTTTTTTGTTGAATCAACCAAATTTTAATTGTCTCAACCAAAATTTTTTTAACACAACCAAAATTAGAAAAAAAGGATTTTTGTTGTCCTAACTAAAGTTTGATTGGGACAACCAAAATTTTGTCGATTCAATAAAAAAATTTTGGTTGCTTAAATACCAACCAAACGTTTGGTTGTGAACACCAAACCCTTTTTTCAGTGTAGTTTCTAAAAAAGAGAGTTAAACTAAAACAGTGTTTCCACGGGTCAGGGAAATCATAGAAAAATCAGGAAATTTTATGAAATGTACTGGAAAAATATTAAATTTCAAAAACGCTACTAAAACTGTAATTTTTGAAATTTTTAATTCGCACTTTTCTTCTAAAAATTATTGTCTTACATTTTTATAATTGTAGGTTTTGGATCGACTTTTAAAGGAAAAAAAGCAATTTAATCGATTTACATTATAGTAAAAGTCTAAAAAGTCAATTTTTTTATTTTCAATAAATTTCATTAGTTGATGAATTTTCATTAGTTTGATGATCTTGAATGTTCATTCTTCATTGTTCACTAATTGGTTACTTTATTATTATTAACAATTTGTTATTAGAAATTATATAAAATTCATTAATTCCTTAATAAGAATATTTCACAGAAATATTTCCAAAAAATTTTCTTTTTAAATCACCGAATTAAACTGAGATAAATTTTCAAGATTTTAATTCAGTTTCAGAACAAATTCTCAAAAATAATTGAATGGTGAATTTCGAAAAGGGCTCAACTCGAAAAAGCGTAAGTGTCATTTTCGCATAACAATTGATAGTGAAAATGACTCTTAGCCTTTTTAGAGTTGAGCTCTTTTCGAAATTCACCATTCAATTTAAAGTTACATTCAAAAAAAAAAAATTTTGTTCAAGTCTGATTAATGCACATTATTCGAATTCAGTATTTTGGAAAATGTTTTAAATAATTAAATTTTCTACACGGAAAGAATTTCGAGACGTCTACTATGTCGCTTACCGCGCATAACTTGTACTTCTAGTCCCAGTCACCTGATATACAGGAATCGCGCGAACAGATGTATGAAAGTGGGGGATATCACTTGTCTCGAAAAAATGCACGTCTCATGTGCGTAAGTCAAGACAAGAGAAGTTTCGTTCGCATGAGGATCGTGCGTTTGCGTGTGTCACGCGTTTTTTAGGTTATGTTAACTATAGATGCTATTTAGAAGTGTCAAAAGTGATTTGTTTCCATTAAAAGTACCTTACTTTAAGTAATTAAGAATCAAATTCTTATTGAAATAAACATTGTTACGGATGATATTAATAATATAAGAAAATTAAAAATATTTTGATAAATTTGTATTCGCTTTTTTTTAATACATTTAAATGTATTTACTTTTATTTTTAAATTCATTGTTGATTAAATTCGTATATTAGGTACAGATAAATTCAAAGTAAAATTAAAATAAATTTTATTTTTAACACAGTTTTGTCTTTTTGTTTTATATGTTTCCATATCAATATTTATGTTATAAATTAATTAAAAGTCATTGAATGTGAATAGTGAATAATTTTTATGAAGTGAGAAGTATTATCAAAATTAATTGTCTTCATATATATATATATATATATACAAAAAATTTTTTTTATTGTTTTCTTTAATTTAAAGCAATATCTAAAAAAGTTTTATTTATGTTATTGATTAAGAAAATAAATCCTCTTATTAATTATTGAATGAAAATTCTTTAAGCTGTTAAGGTATTAGTCGCGTAAAATCATTTTCGTCAGATATTTTTTAAATTTTGCATGAGTGTTTCTGACATAATTATCTACAAAATAAGACCAATCCCATCGATTTTGACCGTTCCTAAGCTTTAAAATATCATTTCAAAGTTGATACTTTTTACATTGACGGAGCACCTAATGCATGTAAGGAATTTGCTTTATAATTATTTAAATGAAAACCAGTCGTCAGATTTTAAAATAAAACTACCACATAATACATTCTCATGAAACGAATGCATACAAAAAAACTGAAATTTTTTGACCGTACCAAACTATAAATATATTAGGAGAAAGTTAACAAAATTTAAATTATATGAAGTTCCACTGCTGGAAAGCAGTAAACTTGGCAACGCTGTAGCGCGCGAATGCATACAAAATTCAAAATCATGCAAAGTACACAGTTAGAAAGTAGGAATATCTCATAGAGTAGAATAAAAAAATAATATATTTAAAATTTCACAACATAGATTAGTATTAAATAATTCTTAATTTTTTAAATTAAATCATATATTTTAAGAAAAATAAGAATGAGAAACGTTAAATTGGTTGGTTATATTTCAACAGTTAAGAAATAAAAACATTTTTTGATGAAATATTTATTTTTTACTTTATAAACCAATTTATAATACATTATTGATGTAAATATTAATTATAAATAACTAAAAATTAGTTTTCAAAGAAGCATACTTGAATTTTTTTTAATAATATTCACATCTTTAATTATTAATTATTCTTAGTAAGTCTCATACTTTTAAAAAGTTTAAGCATTTATATACATAATTATTAATCATAAATAATTCAAAAATAGCTTTTAAAGAAGCATATTTGAATTTTTTTTAATAATATTCAGATTGCGACGTTGCCGCGATCAAAACTTTAGTTCTACACGTGCGATAACGCGGCGCTCTGAGTGGAAGTTACCTGTATCCTTCAAAAAGTTTGACTCAGAACTATACCTCTTGCTAAGCACAGACTGAGTCAGACTCAAGACAAACTTTTGGTTAGAGCCGGCGCGCGACTAATACCTTAAAAGTAGATTAGAAGGATTTTTACTAACAGTTGCGCCGAAACCAGAACGTTTGATGTCTCGAAAATGCACACCACATGTGCATAGTGAAAGGACATCCCATGCCACGTAGTTCTCGAAGCGTCCGCACAGCAGACGTCTCAAAATTCTTTCCGTGTAAGAATTTCATTAAAATATTATTGAAAAAAAATTCATTTTAAATGAAATTTTGTGGAATAATTGAATTTGGAAGAGTTTCATTTAAATTTTTTAGAAATTTTTGAATTTCAGGATATTTTCAATTGAAATTATTATAAATTTAAATGAACGAATTTTTTTTTACAATTTTCAGACAATAATTGAATTAATAAAATGTTGTTTACAAATTTTAAAGAATAATAGAATTTTTGAGTATTTTTAATTAAAAAGACTTATTGTTTCTATGAATTGTTGAAAAACTGTATTAAAGTAGTTAAAAAAAAATTAATTAGGCGAAGAGATTTAAAAAAAAATTTTTTTAAATAATTGAATTATAGAGAATTTTTAATTGAAAAATATTTAAAAAAATTGAATTTACGATTTTTGAAATTTTCAATTAAAATTTTAATGAACTTGAATTATTGAAATTTTTTAGAAATTATATAAACAGAAATTTAATTTTAAAGAATTAGTAATTAAAAAACGTTTTATGTAATTGAATTTTTGAAAAACTTGATTATTAGAAATATTTAATAAAAAAAAGAAATTGAAGTTAAAAATTTGAGAAATAATTTGGTACATTACGGGATACATTTCCCGTAATTCCTGATTAAAACGAGTGGTTAAAATCACCATTTACATATCTGTACCTTTAACCCCTTCGCAGTCAAGACCAAATTCTCATAAGTTGGCTCAAAATGTCACTAACTTTTTAAAAAAACTAAAATTTGCGCAAAAGAGTATACTATTATATTTAAGATTGCTGATTACAAACTTTAAATCAAATTTGGAAAATTCAAAATGACGGATCTAATATGTCGGATAATATTCCAAAAAATGTCAAAAAATTTTAAATTGCTTCCAAATTCTTACTCGATACTTTTTGTGGTCGCTGATTACAAAAAACATTTTAAATGATAATAATTACAATATTTTACATCCGCATTCAGCTGATAAATATTACTAAATTTTTTGTTTTCCATATTGGATTCGACATTTACAATTTGACATCGGATTCGTAATCCGCAACCTCGAAATCTCCTGATTAACAATTTTAAGAGATATTTTTCTTGAAGCCTGTAATACATTATTTCATCAGGATTCTTGAATTCAAAAGGCTCATAAATATATAAAGGAGTATAATTAAAAATGCTTTAGAGAAATATAAAAAAAATAATATTTATTTTACAGATTGGCATGAGATTGCTGGAAGTTAACGGAACTTCATTATTGGGAGTAACACATCAAGAAGCTGTTAATATTTTGCGATCGTCTGGAGATTCAATTTCATTAGTTGTTTGTAAAGGTTATGATAAAAGCGAAATTGAGAACTTAATTACGGCATCCAGTGGTAGGGAATCAAAGGAGTCTGATGGATTTTATGAGTTTAAAGAAGAAATTATTGATGATACAAAATCTTTAACCCATAGCATATCAAGTCTTGATCGAGATGATGAAGAAGCCGCTACTCTTAGACAAGAACAAGATATGAAAGCAGAACTTGTAGCTTGGGAACAAGAAGAACGAGAACGTGCAATCCTTGATCAAAAAGAAAAATCTACTCCTGAAAAGGTAAAGTCATCCTATTTATTGGAAATTCAATTCATAGTTATTTTCATTCAAATTGTATGTTACTTAATTCATTGAAATTTGGAATTTATTTTTCTTAGGTTTTAGATGTTGTCAGAGCGGCAGAATCGTTAGTTAATAAACCAAACAGTCCAACTGATATATTTGTACCACCCAAGTCCCCTGGAATCTTAAAGGATCTTAAAACGACTACTATTGTTATGAGTAAACACACTCTGGCACAACAGAATCCACATGTAGGTATTAAATGATAGAACCTCCTTAATTTCATATATTTATTTTTTACATGTTTTTCAGATGTTGGATGAGGAAAGTGCAACTTTGGATACCCTTTAACAAAAGAAATACGTTATTCTTTGCTTTTTGTCTACGTTTGTGTTCACGCATCTAAAGGCCTTTACACCAATGTAATACAATTTTACAAAATATGTCGAAAATGATAAATGTAATAAATATTTCTTTCTTTTATACATTTCTACGACTAAAATTGTAATATTAATTTTTGATTAATACTTTATTTTTGTAAATCAGAAAAAAGTTTATTGCTTTTTTCTTGTTTTTTTATTCTTCGACTCACTTAAAAAAGAAAAAAAATGTTTTGAATCATACTAAACATATGGATATTTGTTATCTAAAGTATATAGTAAGGAGCTAGATTCAAATTTTTCCATATATATTTTTACATTCCTATATATTTATCTACCTACCTTGCCTTAAGAACAAAACTAACTTCCAACATCTCAAAAATTTACAAACATTTATTTTATCTCAATAATAATAATAACAACAATAATAATAATAATAATAATAATAAAATGTATTTCTTTTAAATTAAAAAATACTTTAATTAAAATTATATACCTAAGTCACGTATTAAAGTGGATATTATACTGTTTAATCAAAATTTATTAATTCCAACCTTAAATGAAGAACTAATAAAAATGTGAAGCTCGGATTCACATAAATTCAAGAACGCACAAATCTTATGAAGTGGTCTATAATAAAATATTATAGGGTCCGACTATTATATTCCGACTGAAATCATTAAAAACTAATTTAAAAAAGTTGATACTTTCATAAATAATTCTATAAGCTTCTTGGAATACAAAATAAAATTAATTAAGTTAATTTCTATTATTTCTCTTTAAAAACGTAAAAAATTGAGTTATTAAAATAAATTTTAACATACCAAATATAAAGTAATGGAAATATAAAGTAACTTTCAAAATTCCATTAACAATTTATAATGACATTTACAATATACAAATTTTGCAATTACAAATACTGGAAATTCGACTCTTATACACTGAAAAAGGTTTGGCGAAACAGTTAAGACACTCATAGATGAGCGGCGCCACTTTAGTTCAAGTCCTAAATGTCCGCCAATTTGGGTGACTCGCTCACCCAACTGACACCTTTAGGCAAAAAGTCGCATTACGCAAAGTAGATTCGTTCGCTCAGAAAAGCGAAATATTCACCCAAAAGTGACAGTGAACGACTTGCTTTTATTTAACGTGACAGTTCTATGCTGTGAGCAACCCTGTCCAGAAAAAAATTTGAGTTAAAACATCAAAAAGCACTCTTCTAATAAATATGTATCTCCTTTTACAATTTTAAGTATTTTTCATCGTCAAATTTTTTCCACATTTTTTAAATGATTCTTTAGAATCTTTTGCATGGATTTTCAAAAATATTAATTTTTTCAAAAAATAAAAATTCTAAAATGGTCAGAAATTAACATTTTCTTTTTTTTTTAACCACCTTTTATGTTTTTATCATCATCATTTTCCCATATGATTCAAGAAAAAAATAAAACCTCGTTTAATAATTTGAAAATGGTAAATAGACTTATTATTCAATAAAAATAATAAAACTTATACATCAGACACATAAATAGTAAATATTAAAAGCAAATCTATGTAATTTTAAAAGTAAAAGGGAAAATAATGCACTCTAATAAAATAATATAAACTAAATATCAGAATTTAAAAGTAAATAAAATTTGTCGCACTTTTACTTCGTACCATTCGAAAGAATATTAAAAAATGTGTCTAAAATATTTACATTTTTTTATTTTTGAGGAGCGCTGAGGATTGAAAGAGTTTGAACAAAGAATGAAAATATCCTTCTATTCCAAAATTAACGATAAAAATTAAAATTTGTCGCCCTTTTAAATCATGCCATTCAAAAGAGTACTAAAAAATGTGTCGAAAACGTCTAAATTTTTTATTTTTTGATGAGCGCTAAGGGTCGAAACTGAACAAAGGAAAAAATATCCTCCGTTTTCAATATTAACGATTGCAATTACTCTAGAAATTAAAATTTGTCGCACTTTTATTTCGTTCCATTCGAAAGAGCACTAAAAATGTGTCTAAAGTGTCCCTTCTTCATATTTTTGCGGAGCGCTAAGATTCGAAACTGAACAATAAAAGCAAATATCCTCCTATTTCAAAATTAGCGATTAGAATGAATTTAAAAATTAATATTTGTCGCACTTTTAAATCATGCCATTTAATAGATCAATAAAAAATGTGTCGAAAGAGTGCATATTTTTTATTTTTGAGGAGCACTAAGGGAATAATGAACTGAACGAAGAATGCAAATATCCTTCTTATTTAAAAAAATATGTACGCTTTCGACACATTTCTTAGTGTTCTTTCGAATGGCACGAAGTAAAAGTACGACAAATTTTAATTTTTAGAGTAGTTGCAATCGTTAATATTAAAAATGTAGGATATTTTTTTTTGTTCAGTTTCAATCCTTAGCACTCATCAAAAAATGAGACAAGCAATTTTATTACTTTAATTTTATATTTAAAATTGCATTCACCTGGTGCAGCCGGGTTCAAAACCGCCAGGGGTCCAAATAAAATTTATTTATAATAATTTAATCGCGGGCGCCAGTCGACTGAAGGTCGACAGTAATTTATTAAAAAGAAAACAACGGAACTCTATCTTTAATTTAAGGGGGGGTGTCTTGGGCAATCCCAATTGATAAAACGTAAAATTAATGGTGGTTATTAATTGTTTTACTTACATATCTCTGATACAAATTATATATTTCTTTATAAGAACAGTCGTCTGTTGGTCTTTATATTATTTCCTTTATAAGAATAGGCGTCTTTTTGTTATTATAATATTACTTATAACAATTTTGCCTGATCAGGGCTTCACATAATTATCATACTTTCACACAATTATAATTTTCAATTAGTTCGTTGTGAGCACGGAACAAGAGTGACCAGGCCGGTCCTTGCCGGCGTCTCGTGAAAATGATCACGTGACGTCCAACACCGCCATGACACATCCAGGGATGTGCGCTCAACTTTTTAACCCAGAGACGACTAAAATTTTCTAACAACACATGTAAAATATATTCCTGTTACACCCTCCCCCTTCGAACATGTAGTTATAAAAAAAATTTTGGAGCTGCAACATGAAATTAAGTGAAATGAAAATAAAAGAATTACGTAGTCGAACCTCTGAAACAGAATTAATATTTAAAATTTTATTAAAACAATTGGGGTAGGTCCAAAAAACAACCACCATAAGTTATATAATTTCTGGAAATTGTGAAAGTCATATTTATTACTATCTATATAAACGCTTTTACTTAATGTAAATCTTGTCGACAATCATAGAGTTATTACGGATAAATTTTTTTTTTTACAATGAATGTTAGCAAGTTGCTAAAACACAAAAAAATCTTAAAGTCGTCAAAGTACAACTATTGATCTTGTGGACGTTGCTTACAAACAGTAGGCACAATGATTCGTTGTTAGTATTTACAATCTTGTTTATAAGTAAATTTATAGATAGAAAAAAATAACAATAGAAAAAAAGAACGTATAGATATACATATGTATATAATTATTTAATTAATTTGAGGAAAAATGAAAAGAAAAAATATAATAAATCGAAACTTAATACCTAAATGTACACATATATGTTTTGAATACATATAAATATAATATTCAATTACCGAATTACAAGCAAAATTTCAAGTAACATTCGTTCATTAAAGAAAAAAGAAAAGATACTACACAATTCACCAATACGTTATGTTAAATAGTTTATCATTGGTTTTAAACAGAAAATCAAATAACAATTTTTTAAATATAAACTGATTTGTCGCATCTCTAATCATAGGTGGTAGTTCATTCCATAGTCTCGCACCTCTGATTATAAACGACCTTTGCATTTTACATGTGCGGTGTTGAGGTATAATAAGAACAGAGTTTCGTTCTCTGAGCCTACTACTTGCGGTCGTGATATTATTTCTGAATTCAAAAAAGTCATGGAGATAAATTGGATTCATATTTTTAAAAATTGAATAAAGCAAATTTCCCATGAAATATTGCCTCCTAGCAGCTACATTTAATAGGCCACATTTAATTCTATATTGCGTTATGTGCTCAGATTTTGGAAGATTAAAAACAAAACGAATACAAGCGTTCAAAACTCTTTCTAATTTATTATTCAATTCATCAGTGATATCATATACTAAATAACAGTAATCAAAGTATGGGAGTATAAGTGACTTTATCAATAATAAACGAGTTGCCGCTGGGAGGGATTCTTTGTTTCTATTTAGTTGTCTCAATACTATAAATGTTTTACGCGAAATATCACAAACATGCTGTTTTCACGATAGTGATCGATCCAAGGTCAAACCAAGATCCTTGACTGTCTCATTATAGGTAATAGGGGTGCCCCCCACGAAAAGAGTAGGAAGAACCAAAAGTGCATCCATGGGGGGACCACCTGATGAAGAAATCACCATTGTCTTAGTTTTAGACGAGTTAAGAGCAAGTCCGTTCTCAGCCCCCCATTTTACAACATAGTTAATATCAGTTTGTATCTTTTTAATCAATTCAGGGAGAGACGACAACGGACCCGATAAGTAGACCTTGAAGTCATCAGCATATGTGTGATACTTACAGTACTTGAGTTGTTTTCCCAGATCAGTGATAAATGTATTAAACAGCAAAGAAGAGAGAGAAGCACCCTGAGGAACACCATATTTAAGTCTATCCCATGCAGAGAAATCCCCGTTTCCATCAACGGCTCGTTGATATCTAAAACTAAGGTAAGACCGAAACCAATTACAGACCAATTTCGACATTTTAAATAACTTTAGTTTATCTATTAGTAATTTATGATCTACTGAAGGAAATGCTTTCGAAAAATCAAAGAATATAACAATAGTGATATATTTAAGATCTATGTCAAGTTTAATTTCTGTTGTAAATTTTAAGGCAGCAGTACATGTACTGTGCTTAGAACGAAAACCTGATTGTAAAGGTTCCAGCAATTCATTATTCGAGAGAAAAGTAACTTGATCACATATTTCGTCAAATTTGGCCTTCACTCGACGTCTCAGCTCACCCTCGACATCCACCAAGAAGCGATGGTCCTCCGCGATAGCCCATACAGGAAAAGTAGCATAGTTGAGTCTTAACCAATCAACTATCCCTTC